GGCGTGCACCACCACAGCAGCTGGGATTACGGGTGTGTACCACCACACCTGGCTGGTAGATTTCCAGGTTTTGTTATTGTCCTGCGTGGTGTCACCACTGGAGCAAGCTGGGGGAAGGGTACACAAACCATGTACTAATTTCACAACTTCTTACGAGTCTCTGGATATTTCAAAATGAAAAGTTTAAATAAATGAGATTGTATAAGAATTTCTAAGTGATAACAATAATCCGTCTGATCTTCCTTTAACATCTGGATTAAAGGAGTGACTATGTTGTTGAGAATGAAAATTGTAAATTTTTACTTGAGTAATGCGGCCATGGTAAAGGTGGTTAGGAGTGGCCTTTCCTTACTGGTGAGTAAGGTTTGTATGCGTCCTAAGGAGAGGCCCTCTGGGTGGCAAGAAGGTCCCCTTCGACCTCTTGGAGGTGTGCACTCCTGTGCCCTAACCCTAACCCTAACCCATGGGGACGACGACATCACCACAGTACAATATCAAACCAAGACTGTGACCTTGGTAGGACCTGCAGACCTTGCTCTAATGTCACCAGTTTTACATGCACTTATTGTGTCTCTGTGTGTTTCATAACCTTCAACATCATGCTTTAGAGAATCACACAATTCCACCCATCACAACCCTGAGGTCACAGCCAGGTTCTCGTGCCAGCCCCTGCACTTGTGAGGGAGCCATCAGGCCAAACGGAAACAGGCAAGCAGGTGAAAGAACTCACAACTAAAGTGAGTGGCAGGGGAGACGCACTTTCCTGCCCCAAGCATCACTCAGTTAGAGGGCAGAAAACTCTAGAAGGCCTTGAAACATGGAAAATCAAGTTCTATCAACATTATACAAAGCTAGAGTTTAACAGAGGCAAGGAAAAAAAATGCACAGAGGTGGATGGTTTCTGGATCTCAAAGACTGAGACTTCAAAATGAAGAGTTAGGATTAGTTTTTTGTTTTGTTGTGTTTTTCTTCCAAGACTATCTTTCCTAAAAGTAAAAAGTATGAAAGTCTGTGATTTCTGAAATCTCCACAGGGTTGTGATGTCCTAATCCCTCACCCACTACTCCGTTTTTTTTTTTGACAGGGTCTTGCTCTATCAGTCAGGAGTGATCATAGCTCACTGCAACCTCCAACTCCTGGGCTCATGTGATCCTCCCACCTGGGTTTCCTGATTACCTGGGACTATAGGTCACCATGTCTGGCTAACTTTAAAATTTTCTGTAGAGATGTTGCCCAGGTTCCAACTGCATTTTAATAGTATTTAGTGAACACATCACCAAAAGCATAAGGGAGAGGAATCCGTTCAATGCCTCCGCAGAGGGCAAAGGCTGGAGTCAGGGAGAGGGTTCTGGGTGTGACCTGTGGGAGAAACACGCACATGGCTCCATTCGTGTAGACGGCATCTCCCCCTTCCACATACTGCACCTGGGCAGGATACACGTGCTGCACCGGCTGCACCTGGAACATTGGATACGCTGTTACCACTTGTCATGCCCTCGTTAGTTATCTGCAGATTATTCAAGCTAGACATGTCTTCTATTGCCTTTATGAATATTTAGTACCAATTGACAGTGTTCCCACCCACAGTCGGCACGCCTGGAAAGACACTGAAGAGATAGTAATGTATGGAAGACATATTCCAAACGGCCCACACAGTTCAGGGAGCTGCTACCGAACCCCAGAGCTCGGCGAGCCTGCCTACGCGCCCTGGCTCCTTTCTGCCGTGGCACATGAGGGAAGCTGGGGCCATGGCCCCTCCTCTGTGTGTGGGGGTGGGCCCAGGAGCATGACAGCACCCCTTCAACGCAGTGGAAGCCAGAGTTGTGGACAGAGAGCCCTGACCTGGCTCACAGGACTCCCTGGTTTCTGGTTTTGTTTTTGTTTTTGCGACAGGGTCTCCCTCTGCAGCTCAGGCTGGCAAGCAGGCTGGAGAGCACATGGGGTCAATTGGATTAGACCCTACATGGCCGCTACACGCCCTGTGGATGGTCGTGGCGCCCCTCCCTGGCAGAGAGGAGGGAAGAGACTGTGACAATCTGGGCAGAGTGGGAAGAAGCGGGGACTCCAGCACACCCCTGCTGACCTGTCCCCCCTGCACTGAAACGTTAGTTCAGAGGCTCAGCTGACAGGCCCTGAGGGACTCTAGTGCAAGCGCTGGAAGCCAAATGCTTTGCACATGGAACTTCGAACTCCCACCGCAGAGGGCATCTTAGTGGCTGCCCATGTCCACCTTATTTTGGGGTGAGAAGATGGGGGGCCACAGCGGTGGGCTTGCTCGGGTGTCAGGATGACCTTCCCCCGGTGCCTGAAGCTGCAGGATGGGGCTGACTTGCCCCTCCTGGGACCACTGAGCATGGTATGCACTTGTCCAATGCACAACTCCCAGAACCACAAGTTCCAGGGATTAACATCTGTTGGCTGGTGTCCCAGGGGTAGAAGTCAAATGTCAAACTCTGGGGGATTGAAATGCAGAAGTTACAAAAAGAGCTGGGCAGGCCCAGCCCCCCAAAGAGTGGTGGAAGCTTCTGGAATCACACATTGGTCTTTGTCTCCTCTCCCTTCATGGTGTCTCCGGGGAGTGCCTTGACAGACAGGAGCTCAGAGGGAGCCACTGGCCTAAGGCCCTGGGTCCCTGCTGGGCCTGTCTGAAGCCTTTTCCTTCCTGGGATCTGCAAATGTTCCTAGGGAACACTACCAATCCAGGCAGGATCATCTTGAAGAGAGGCGCATCCTCTAGGGTCTTAAAGTTAACTCAGGCTCTTTTTATGGAGGAGCCTGAGTTAACTTTAATTCAGGATTCTGCAGGGCAGAGTTGGCAAACTCTGGCCCTGAGGGCCAAATCTGGACCACTGTCTGTTTTTGTAAATAAAGTTTTATTGGCACACAGCCATGCCTATTTGGGTACATATCATCTATAGCTGCTTTTGCGATACAATGGCAGAGTTAAGTGGTTGTTCCAGAGGCTGCCCAGACCACAAACTCTCAAAAATGTATAATTTGGCTTCCGGAAACAATTAGCCAACCATGCCTCTAGACTGTCCCCAACCTTGTGATCTGTGTTGCTACTTGGCTGGTCAGCCATGCGTTCAAACTCTGTTCTTAGATAATTGAAATTATAAGAAGCGTTTCCTCTGCTGTGCCCTCATCCGAGGATACGGCGCTCACTAGCAGATGGGTCTACCTCCCGGGAAGGGTCTGTGTTCCTTCAGTCCAGAGCCCTTTGTTTCTGTCTGCATGTTGACCTGAGCTCCACCCAGCAGGTGTGGGGTGCTCACTGGCTCCCCAGAAGCTTGCTAAATTTCTGAATGAACAAAAGATCACCAGCTTTCTTGGCTTGTTGCAGAACGATCTGCAGTAAATGATTGTTTTTAATTGCACAGCTTCTGGAAGAACCTTTTAGCTAAGAAACCGAAGCTGCCTAACAAGGAACAGCAGCCACAGAAAAGGATGCATCCTGCAGAGATTGTTCTGGATTGCTGAGTGCTGACTGCGCCCCGGTGTGCATGGTGCTGTGGTGTTTGTCATTACCTGCTGGGGCAACTGCTGAACTCTGGGGAGGGAGATCGGCTGCATCTGGGCCCCTTTGGGAGCAGAGCTGGCTGCCTGGACCAACACCCTCTAAAAGGGAAGGGAGAGAAGGGCAGTTAGACTTCTCAGAGGTCAGTGCTGAGGACACACACAGAATGTAAGAGGCTGTTTGTCTGCTCCTATGCTGCTTTATTAAAACATAGGCAGGACTGATCAGGAGGGGCGGCGGCGTGATGGTCAGACACGTACATCCTTGCACACTCACACCGACCTGGGCAGATACAAGGCAGGTATGTGCAGGCACACAAACAATGCACATACATACAGTGTGCACACTCACCCCATGCACCCCCCACACACATGTACATGGAAGCACATGCACCTTCACCTGCCCAGGCAGCTTTGCCTCTGTGGGCCTGTAGTCTGCAGTGAAGTGGCACTGACTGTCCCTAGTACAGAGGGGACTGCTGGGGCCTTTTGGACAGCCATCCACACCACTGCCTGGGAGAGTACTCTGTGGTGCCCCTCGGTTCTGCAGTATACCCCAAACTTTCTTTCATTTTCTTTTTTTTTGAGATGGAGTTTCGCTCTTGTCACCCAGGCTGGAGTGCAGTGGTATGATCTCGGCTCAGCAACCTCCGCCTCCTGGGTTCCAGCGATTCTCCTGCTTCAGCCTCCCGAGTAGTTGGGATTACAGGCATGCGCCACCACGCCTGGCTAATTTTGTATTTTTAGTAGAGACGGGGTTTCTCCATGTTGGTCAGGCTGGCATTGAATTCCCAACCTCAGGTGATCTGCCGGCCTCAGCCTCCCAAAGTGCTGACATTACAGGTGTGAGCCACTGCACTTGGCCCCTTGTTTTCATTTTCTAATGAGGTTAATGAACCCGAGGGCTCCAGGGCGGCCTCTGGCTACAGAATACTTGAGTCCAGGTGCCCTGGGTGTCTGTGTCTGGGTCCCTCGCTCCCCGACCCCCACTGCTTGCCAGCCTCCTAAGTCAAGTCTGCACATTGTGCCTTTGCTATTTTTCTGAGAGTACCAGTTGTCCACACAAAGCTATGAAAAAGGGAAGTGAACTCCTTAGAATGAACTAGAGTTGAGGGAGGAACAGGAGTGTTTTGTGTGTTTATTGAGAACTGGGCTTTAGAAGTCATTGGCTGCAGTGCTGTGACTGTCCGGCATGAACGCTGAATGTCACGGGTAGCAGTGACTGCCATGTATACATCATGAGGGGTGATGGGTGAGGACACACCATCCCGTGTGGCAGGAGTGGAGCTAAGGATGAAGATGGTGCTAACAAGGACGCCAGCGCAAGGGCATTCAGATTCCAGGCACGCTGGGCACTGTGTGCTTGGGAGAATTCACAGGGCGCTGGCAGGGCCTCAGAGAGGGACCACAGTGATGAAACCTGGGATGGACACCGTGGCTGTGAGTAGCACTGAGACCTGTCCACAGTGGCTGCTGCGGAGGAGGGCAGAGTCCACCCCAGCCTGGGAGAGCCGGAGGGAGGGGCTTGGCAGGAAGGACCTGAGGGCTGACTCCTCTTGGACAGTTTCAAGTGGGCAAGGACACATATCAATTAGGCTAACGGGACAACGGCATCTGATCCCCACCTCAGATGGGTTTCCAAGACGCCCTCCCCACTGCCGTATGTGCAAGAAATAAAAGCCAGAGATGTCTGACTACACTAAATCAAACAAGCTGCCTCATTGTCTGCCTTTTTATTTTTGCTGAATTGTGGTTTCTTTGTTTTATGTTTGCTTTTTTTATTTTTTCGAGATTGAATTTCACTCTTGTTGCCCAGATTGGAGGGCAGTGGCATGATCTTGGCTCACCGCAACCACCGCCTCTGGATTCAAGCGATTCTTCTGCCTCAGCCTCCTAAGTAGATGGGATTATAGGAATGCACCACCATGCCTGGCGAATTTTCTTTTCTTTTTTTAGTAGAGACACGGTTTCACCTAGTCAGGCTGGTCTCGAACTCCTGACCTCAGGTTATCCACCTGCCTCGGCCTCCCAAAGTGCTGGGATTACAGGCATGTGCCACTGCGCCTGGCCCTGAATTGTGCTTTTTAAACCGTAATCATTTCTTTTTGCTGTGCTCCTAACTTTGAGATTCCAGATCGAGGTGGTCACCTGGCCACAGTGGACCTCTGCACACTGTGATGAGCCTCCAGCCTGGTTAACATGGCCGGTGCCACTCACTCGGTATTTCTGTCTTCTCATGCCTTATTTCATTCCACGGCAGAAATCGAGAAGCAGAGAGAGCCTTAATGTGAAAATTCTCTCTCTGCAAATTTAAAGAATATGTTCATTCAGGTGCTACATTTCATTTTGAACCAAATCTTGAGAATTCTAACTCATCTTTTTCCTTTTGTCACTCAGGCTGGAGAGTCGTATGATTACAGCTCACTACAGCCTCAAACCACTGGGCTTAACCCATCCTTCCACCTCGGCCTCCTGAGTGGCTGGGACCACAGACGTGCACCACTAGGCCTGGCTAATTTTATTTATTTATTTAATTTTATCTTGTTATTATTATTTTTGAGATGGAGTCTCATCTGTCACCCAGGCTGGAGTGCAGTGGTGCGATCTTGGCTCACTGCAACCTCTGCCTCCCAGGTTCAAGTGATTCTCCTGCCTCAGCCTCCCAAGTAGCTGGGATTACAGGCGCCCACCACCACACCCAGCTAATTTTTGTATTTTCAGTAGAGACAAGGTTTCACCATGTTGGCCCAGGATGGGCTCAATCTCTTGACCTCGTGATCTGCCCGCCTCAGCCTCCCAAAGTGCTGGGATTACAGGCATGTGCCACCATGCCTGGCCCATTTTTTTTTTTTTTTTAAAGACAGGGTCTTGCTCTGTCATCCAGGCTAGAGTGCATTGTTACAGTCATGGCTTACTGCAGCCTCAACTTCCTCGGCTCAGGCGATCCTCCCATCTCAGCCTCCTGAGGAGTTGGGACTACAGGTGCAAGCCATCATGCCTGGCTAATTTTTTTTTTTTTTTCCAGAGAAAGGGCCTGGCTATATTGCCCAGGTTGGTCTCAAACTCCTGGCCTCAAGTGATCTACCAGTCTCAGGCTCCCAAAGTGCTGGGATTACAGATGTGAGCCACTGTACCCAGCCTGCCTTCTAAATAAAGTATTTCTGTGTGAAAGGGTCATTTCCAAGTACAAGAAAACCTTCACTGAACGCTACGCAGAGACCAAGTCGGATTTGGGGGAGTGGCTTCTTTTCTATTCGTATCATCGTCTCCTTGATGGGATCTTTTTAACAAATAGTGAAAAGCCAAACACAGTCAAGGAAGTTGTGCTCTTTCAACAGCAGCATTAGGGCTGAGAAGTCCATTCAGAAAAATACAGATTCCATTCTCTGCAGATCCAAGCAGTCTTCAAACACACAGGGACCGAGTCCACACTGTGGCCACCCTGTTGTTGCTGAGAGGCTGAGCGGCAGGTGGGCATGCGTTACCTGTGGGGATGCTGGCACAGGCGGGGCTGCCGCCGAGGGACGCAGAGCCACGGATGCTGGCGAATCCGCTCCACCCTCGGAATTCTGCATGCTCAGGTCTAAAGAAAGGTGGAGAGAGATTGGGTGGGCAAGGGTTGCAAACACTGAAACCCGAAGAGGAAACTAACAAGTTCAAGACAGGGAAGGAGTTACCAGCTACGTTCTTCAAAGTGGAGAGGCAGAGACCCTGGTGGTACCTCGTGAGGACGTGTGGGAACAGGCTAAAGAACTGTCCCACAGGAGAGAGGGGCCAGAGAACGTTTTCCAAATATAAAACCCTAAAAGATCTCTGTCACCACTCAATAGCAGGAATTCCTCAGCGGAAGGCAGAACAATGCCTCTGTGTCCAAGTCTGAGCAGGTTCAACTATTCTGAAGGACTCAATTGTTTACTCATTTACTCAGCAAATCAAAAGCTCTGGGTGAGTGCCTGCCACTTGGGGAGCTACTACACCCCAAACGACAATGAGAGCAACTCTAAGGCTGGGTTTCCCCACTGTGGCACCATCGATGTTTGAGCTGGATAGTTCTTTGCTGTTGGAGGCCCATCCTGGGCACTGCAGGGTGCTGAGCAGCACACATTCCATGCCAGGAGCACCCCTCCCCAAGCTGTGGCAATCACAACTGTGTTCAGATATTGCCAAGCGACCCAGGGGGGCAGTGTGAGAACCACTGGCGAGGGAGAGAAAAGGTGATCTGCAGAGGGAGTAAATGGTACATTTTATCCAGGGCTGGATAAAAGCCCTCATGAATTTTGGCAGTAAGTAAAAACCGCCTTCTGTTCAAAGTCATCTTTGCCTGCAGTAAAGTATAAACATATATATTTCTTTGCTGCCAGAGGCACACATCTTTCAAACAGATAGTTTTAAAATTCTATATAAAATGACTCATTTAATATTTTGGCAGATGAAACAAATTTGTCCCATGAAAACTCTAAAATTAAAAGTCTTCACTTTTAAATAAACAATCGGCTCTGTTGAACACTGGAGACATAGTTAAGTAAACACCCTTAGGTGAGGAGGTGGCTTTGTGATCAGGCACACCAGTCCCCCATCCTGGCGCCAGCTCTGAGCCTGTCACCCTCCCAGTGGGGGGGTCTCCATGGCTCCTGCCTGATGGGGGGCAGTGAGGACTGAACCGCAGGCAAACATCACAGGGCACGTGACATAGTCAGAACACAATAGACATTTGCTACGACTTTTATGTTTCTCTTATCACCCCAGTGTTTTTATCTCTAAGAATGAGTAAAACAAAATTTAAGCCTTTTAAAAATCAAAAGCAAAACTTATAATAGATTAAACTAATTTACCTAAGGAAAGCAGAAAGGGGTATGCGTGTTTGAATTCGAGTGTGCTGGTTTAATCCCATCTGTACTGCTGGGGACCATTCCCTGACTACCACCACTGCACCCCACATTCCCCTCCCAAATCCCTTTGGTGCAACCCAGAGTCTGGGATTTTTTGTTTCTGTGTGAGCCTGACTCACTTCTCACCACTAGATGTCCCCAGAGCCACGTGGTGATTGCCTGGGCGTTAACTAAACCTTACACAGCCCGACTTCTCCTACCTTCGATTCTTATAAAAGATTGTAAATTTCCCATAGTGTATTTCCTGAGTCCTCAGCTCCCTCTCTCTCTCTTTGACAGAACTGACCTTTGGAATTTTTCTGTTGGAAGTGGCTTTTATTCACAGTTTCCTTTAAATGCTTAAATCAGTCATTTGCACACCATACACCATGCTGTTCTCATCTGAAGCCCAGTGGGTAGCGTCAGTGATACTAGGAGGAGATAATGTGACTAGAACTCTTTGTGAAGAGAGTCCACCAGTGATAAAGTGAGAACGCTGACCTGACTAAGACCAGTTCCTTGTACCACAGGTAGAAATCATTTTGCTTCAAACTCCAGATCTCATTTAAGTAAGGAGAGCCCATGAGAGTGTTGTGCTATATGGTGAGACCATGTTCTGTCCGCCAAGGCCAGAACGCACCTTCCAGAATGCAAGTTATTCTGAGTCACAGGCATTTACACATGAATGTGTTCCCCTAATTTATTAGTATTGTTACTGCTATTATTTTGAGATGGAGTCTTACTCTGCTGCCCAGGCTGGAGTACAATGGCATGATCCTGGCTCACTGCAACCTCTGCCTCCTAGGTTCAAGTGATTCCCCCACCTCTGCCCTCTGAGTAGCTGGGATTACAGGTACCCGCCATCATGCCTGGCTAATTTTTGCACTTTTGTAGAGATGGGGTTTCACCATGTTGGCCAGGCTGGTCTCAAACTCTTGACCTCAGGACATCCACCTGCCTCGGCCTCCCGAAGCCTGCCACTGGCCTGTTCCCCTAATTTAACACACTATTCGCCATGTGCTGGTTTATAGGTCAGACCAATGAGTCTGTGGCTTTCTGCTGGGGGCATGCCTCAATTCACAAATGCTTAGATGGCAGACAGCATCAGCCTCCACCCCCCAGCATCAGAGGACAGAGTTCTCTTAAAGAGAGAGAGCCACAGAAGGGGTGAATCCCCAAATCCTCCTACAAAATACATCCGAATCTTTGGCTAAGCAACTACACCACAAAGGTGTGGGGGAGATACCAGCGGTCTTGGGGAAAATCCAGCAGTGCAAAGATAAAAAAAAATCAAGTGAAAATTTTAACAGCTGCCTGCTGCAGGAGGGAGAGTTTGAATCTAGCCAAGTCACTTGCCTTCAGCGGAACTCAGCTGAATCCACAGATTCTACAACACATCATTCATGTCCAGGACCCAGTAAAAATCCTGAACTATGAAAAGAAACAGGAACAGGTAACCTACACTCAAAAGAAAGAGTAACAAATGAAAAGAAAAAAGAAAAACAGTTAATTATAGCCAAACCCAAGATAACCCAGATGATACAGAAAGCAGACAAGGACTAAAGGAGCTACTAAAAATAAGTTCAAGAACTTAAAGGAAGTTATATACATAATGAATGAACATATGGGACTCTCAACCAAGAAACACAAAGTATAAAAAGAGAACCAAATAGAAATTCTGGAGCTAAAAAGTACAATACCTGAAATATAAACTGAACTAGATGCACTCAACTGCTGATTAGAGATAATGGAAAGAGCTAGTGAACTTAAAGATAGATAAAAAGCATTCACCCAACTGAAGAACAAAGAGAAAAAATATGAAGAAACATGAGTAGAACAAGCAGTCCAACAGAGATGTAACCAGAGTCCCAGAAGAGAAAAAGAGAATGTAAGAGAAAAAAATATTTAAAAATGGCCAAACACCTCTATATTTGGTAAAGGATATCAACTTAGAGGTCCAAAAATCTCAACAAACCATAAGAAGAATAAATACAAAGAGAGCCAAGATAGATATGCCATGGTTAAACTGTTAAAAGAAGTAAAGAAAAAATCTTGAAAGCAGTCAGAGAAAAACTACATTATTATATTCAGAAAACAATGGCAAGCAGAAGACAATGGGACAATGGAATGATTTTTTTTTTTTCTTTCCGAGATTGAGTCTTGCTCTGTTACTCAGGCTGGAGTGCAATGGCGTGATCTCAGCTCACTGCAACCTCCACCTCCTGTGTTCAAGTGATTCTCCTGCCTCAGCCTCCTAAGTAGTTGGGATTACAGGCACCCACCATCATACCCAGCTAAATTTTGTATTTTCACCATGTTGGTCAGGCTGGTCTCAAACTCCTGACCTCAGGTGATCCACCTGCCTCAACCTCCCAGAGTGCTGAGATTACAGGCATAAGCCACCGTGCCTGGCCTGGAATGACACTTTCAACATGCTGGGGGGAAAACCCTATCAGCCCAGAATTCAGTCTCCAGCAAAACTATTCTTAAAAACTGAAGGTAGAATAAAGAGGTTTTTTGCATAAACAAAACCTGATAAATTTTTCTGTCTACCCTATGAGAAATGCTAAAGGAAGTTCTTCGGAATGAAAGGAATTAATACCAGATGGTAAATCTGGATCTATTAGAAGGAGTAAATATCACTTAAAATGATAAATAAATATGCAGGTAATTATTAAAAAAACTGTATTTTTTCTTTTCTTCTCTTTATTTTAAATACATAAAACTATTTGACAAAAACTTCATAACACGCATTGTGGGGTTTATGTCACATGTACATGTTCTCTATGACAATTATAACAGAGTTTGGGGACAAATTAAGTTATACATTCAAGGTTCTTGTATTTTATCTAAGGTAGTAACATGTTAACTCTGTAAATTGTGATAAATTAACAATGCACATTGTAACCTCTGAAGCAACCACTAACAAAAAAATATACAAAAAGGTATAGCTAAAAAGCTAATAGAGAAATCAAATGAAATCTTACTTAACATATTTGATTATCCAAATAAGGCAAGAAACAAAGAACAGAGAAACAAAAAACAGATGATACAAATAGAAAGCAAATGGCAGAATTATTTTGCTAAATCCAGGTATATTAATATTACATTAAATGTAAATAGACACTTGAATGAAAAGGCAGAAATGATCAGCCTGGATAACAATCAAGATCCCGTTATATGCTCCCTAAAAGAAATCCTCTTTAAAAATAAAGGCACGCTTAGGTTGAAAGTAATAGAATAAAAAGAGACCCACTGTGTAAACTCTGATCTTAAGAAAGCGGAAGTGGCTAAAACAATCAGACAAAAAGACTCTGAGAAGAGAAATATTGCTAGAGATTCTAGAGACAACGACAAGACAAGGAATATTACTGGAGATAAAATTTCATCATGATAAGATTACCAGTTTTTCAGGATGACATAATGATTACAGATGTGTATGTACCTAGTAATAAACACACCTGAAAAATACATGAAGTAAAAATTAACAAAACTAGAGGAGGAAATAAACAATCATAGTTGGAGGTTTTAAAGATCCTTCAGTAATTTTGACAGAAGAACTAAGCAAAATTATTAGTAAGGCTACAGAATATCTGAATTATACCATCGACCACATAGATATAATTGACATTTATAGAACACTACAATCAAAACCTGCACATTCTTTTCAAATGCACATGGAATATTCACTATGGTGAGTCATGTTCTGGGCCATAAAACAAGCCTCGATACATTTCAAAAGACTGTAATTACACAGAGCATGTAGGCACTTTGACCACAATGGAGTAAATTAGAGATCAATAAGAAGGTTAGAAAAGGCCGGGCGCGGTGGCTCAAGCCTGTAATCCCAGCACTTTGGGGGGCCGAGGCGGGTGGATCACGAGGTCAAGAGATCGAGACCATCCTGGCTAACATGGTGAAATCCTGTCTCTACTAAAAATACAAAAATTAGCCGGGTGTGATGGTGCGTGCCTGTTGTCCCAGCCACTCAGGAGGCTGAGGCAGGAGAATTGCCTGAACCCAGGAGGTGGAGGTTGCGGTGAGCTGAGATTGCGCCACTGCACTCCAGCCTGGACGAGAGAGTGGCTCTGTCTCAAAAAAAGAAGAAGAAACAATAAAGAACAAAATTAATAAAATTAGAAATTCCACAAACAGTGGAGAAAGTAAACAAAATCAATATTTCTTCAAAACTGAAATTTTTTCTTTTTTTTTTTTTTTTTTTTTTTTTTTTTGGGACGGAGTTTCGCTCTTATTACCCAGGCTGGAGTGCAATGGCGCGATCTCGGCTCACCGCAACCTCCGCCTCCCGGGTTCAGGCAATTCTCCTGCCTCAGCCTCCTGAGTAGCTGGGATTACAGGCACGTGCCACCATGCCCAGCTAATTTTTTGTAGTTTTTTAGTAGAGACGGGGTTTCACCATGCTGACCAGGATGGTCTTGATCTCTTGACCTCGTGATCCACCCGCCTCGGCCTCCCAAAGTGCTGGGATTACAGGCTTGAGCCACCGCGCCCGGCCTGAGATTTTTTCAAAAAAAAGAAAGCAGCTATCAAGCCATGAAAAGACATAGAGGAAACTTAAACACACACTATGAAGTGAAAGAAGTCAGTATGAAAAGGCTACATACGCTATGATCCTAATTAAAGAACATTTTGGAAAAGACAAAACTGTGGCAACAATAAAAAGATCAGTGGTTGTCAGGGATCAGAGAGATGGATGAGAAGGCAGAGCGCAGAGGATTTTTAGGACGGTGGAACTATTCCATATGGCACTATAATGGTGGACACATGTCACTATACACTTGTGCAAACCATAGAATGTGCAACACCAAGAGTGAACTCTCGTGTAAACTATGAGCTTTGGGTGAGAATGCTGTGTTAACGCAGGTTTCATCAATTGTAAAAAATGCACAGCTGGTGGGGGATGGTGATAACGAGGGAGGCTGTGCATGTGTGGAGGTATGGGGCATATGGGAAATCTCTGTATTTTCCTGTCAATTTTGCTGTGAATCTAAAACCACTCTTTAAAAAAGCAAGTCTTGGCCAGGCATGGTGGCTCACACCGGTAACCCCAGCACTATGGGAGGCCGAGGCTGGTGGATCACCTGAGGTCAGGAGCTCAAGACCAGCCTGGCTAACATGGCAAAACCCCATCTCTACTAAAAATACACAAATGAGCCAGGTGTGGTGGTGGGCGCCTGTAATTCAAGCTGCTCAGGAGGCTGAGGTGGGAGAATCACTTGAGCCCAGGAGGCAGAGGTTGCAGTGAGCTGAGATCCTGCTACTATACTCCAGCCTGGGCAACAGAGCAAAATTCCATCTCAAAAAAAAAAAAAGCAAGTCTTTAAAAGAATTAATTAACAACCTCCTCCTAGAAAGACTGATAAGAAAGGAAAAAAAAAAAACCCCCAAATTGCCAATATCAGGACTGAAATGAGATATACTACAGATTCTACAGAAATCAAAATGATAATAGGGAACCATTACAAACAACTTTAGCCCATAAATTCAATGACATATAAGATGAACACTTATTCAAAAAACACAACATCACAAAACTGACACATGATGAAATGAAAAACGTGAGTGTAGTACATACAACAAAAAGATTGAATATGTTATTAAAAACTTGCCTACAAAGAACACGTCAGACACATATAGTGTTACTGGTGAATGCTATCAAATATTAAAAACGGAATTATTACACAAATGCCACCAGAAAATTTTTAAAAAGAATACAACTCATTTTATGAGGTCAGTAAACCCTGATAGCAAAACTTGACAAATATACTACAAGTATTTAG